TCTAGAGTCTCAATATCTTTTTTACATTGTGGTGATCAAAACTGGATGCAGTATTCCAAGTGTGGCCTTACCAAGGCATTGTAAAGTGGTATTAATGAAATTTAAAGTAATGTAAAATGGTATTGTAAAGTGGTATTAAGAAAATTTAAAGTAATGTAAAATGGTATTGTAAATTGGTATTAAGGAAATTACTTGCAGAATTTGTAGAAAAATCTATATTCAGAAGAAAACTATGTATGCTACAATGCTTACATTCAAAGGTACATATTTTAAGAAAGTTGCACAGAGTAGTTTATATGTAAGGGAAAGAATCAGAAGTATCATCTCTCATTTAATACACTGATTTTCAGTAGTTTTCCAAGTTAATGATTCCCACAATGGATGAATGGCTGTAGAAGTTGATGGAGTCAGCAGAGAAGGCTAAACTGACTGCTTTGATTAAAGACAAAAACACAACTACTTTTGTTTCTATTTGGAAGCCACTTCTGGAGCTACTTTGTGCTCAAGGTGGAAAAAAACTATTAGATAGGTTTGTTGTTATAGAAATGGCTAGTGTACATTATTATGTAAAAGTAAAAAGTTGAGGTTTGATGTTATTATCTTATTCTACTGCACCAAAGGGAGCAGCCAATGCCTTTTCTTTCTTTTTTTTCCAGTTTTCCTATACTTTTCCCTTCCCTTTCCCCTCCCCTATCTTTCCTACTATATTCTTTTGTGTTTTAGTATCTTATAGTATTAATACATAAATAAATTATAAAAAAATAAAAAATAAGTGTTACTTCTCATTTAATATACTGATTTTCAGTAGTTTTCCAAGTTACTGTTCTGCCTTATACATTATGTAAGGATATGGTTTATAAGCATTCCTCTTCCAATGCTAGAATGTTCCAGATCAAGATGGGGGAAGGAGTGCATTTGGTTGCATATGAAAATATGAATATGAGTGGAATGGTAACCTGGTGAAATGGAGTGAATCATTCCTGGATACAAGCTTTATAGTAAAGACAGGAAAGACCTCATGGGAAAGAGGTTGCTGTTCATGTCAAGGAAAATATAAAATCTAACATGATAGAAACATTGGAAGACCAGATTCCTCTAAAAAAAATCACTATGTATGACTAGTAATATCTGGCCACAAATGTAAGATCTAAGGATATGCTCTTGCCTTCCTGATAAAAATATGGAGAGCAAACTTGAGATTTTGAAAGAAATCAAGGAGACATGCAAAATAAAACTTTGTAATAGTTTACAATAGCTGATGACAACCGTGATTTCCAATCCGCAAGAAAAATAAACATTGACTATGCTGTTACGTTTAGCATACAAGCAAATAGGAAACTGACACAAGGGGTCCTTGGTGCTCTCTAAGCTTGGTGCTCTTTAAGCTTGCAGATGTTTCATTACCCAAACTAGGTAATATCAACAGTGTTGGTATGGAGTGGGTTTTTTTTTTCCAGCACTGATGATCTTATCTAATTTGGATAATGAAACATCTGCAAGAAAACATTCAAGCTAAAAGAATACCAAGGACCTCTCATTTCAATCCTGAGTGCAAATAGTCTCCCCTATTCTGGTTTAACACAGTCACATTTGAATATAAGTGGAGGAACTTCTAAAATATAAGGGAACTTATATAAAAGAAATTGAAAGTTAATAGGCTAAATCTCATGGTGGCTGATGATCATTTAAAATCAAAGTAAGTGAAAGTCAGGTAAAATTTATTCCATAGTGAATCAATAAGGTTAAAGAGTTATCAGGGATAAGATGAACAAAAATTGTGAGTCATCTACTAATTGCATAAACAAATAATACTAGAATAAGCACATCCTATGGACAGAAAGATTCTTCCTTAATGCACAACACATATTTCAGGATCCAACCCAGTGAAAGAGAAAACAAAAACTGTTTGAGGGAAGAAAGGCAACCTTTGTATGAAAGTCCATGACCATACTGCAAAAATAGCTTCTGTCCCTGTTTCTCACAACATTTGAGCTGTTTGTTTTTTAATTTTTAATAATACTTTTGAGACTTTTATTTTATGCTAATTTAAGCTGCTTTCTGCAATCTCCAAATAGCTTTAGTTTGAACATAAGCCTTAATAAAGTGGCATTTATAATCTTATGGAAACCCCCACCCTCACACTGGTGATGTTATGTTGTTGGATAATGAAACATCTGCAAACAAACAATCAAGCTCAGAGAGCACCAACAACTCCAAAGTCTTAGAAATGTTTGTAATCTAAAATCTGATCTCTCAATATTGACCTTACTTTGCATAGCAATAGTAAGAAGCAACCACAATAACAATAAAGATGGGATTTTTCTTTCTATAGCTGTGTTGATCTTTTGCTGGATGTATTCCAGTACAGAATGAAGAATCATCTGTCAGAGGTGCTTCAATGTAGATTCGTGCAATGAGCAGGAGGTTATGCTTGATTATATAAAAGACAGTTTCAAACTCTGTAAAATTATAGAGCACTATCCATGTTTCAGAGTAAAATAAAAATGAATATTAAAAAAATCTCTTATTTCATTGTCCTTAAAAGGGAATCCCAAAATACATTTTAATTTTGATGGGCCCAGAGAAAAGAAAGTTAAAGGATCATTTCAGAAACATTTTGGCTGCTTCTTTTTCCTTAAAGAGTATATTTGAAAAGAGGTCCATTTAGTTAAAGCTGTATTCATTTTAAACATACCCTGGACCTCTTTTTACCTTTTAAAAGATGCTTTTGTTTCACCATTCTTCAAGACTGAATGTTCTGTATGGCACTGTGATGTAAATGAGGAAATTTAGGGACTTTTAAAGAACACTTTTTTGCTATAATTACTTTATAAAGACATATCTCTCTGTAACACAACATTTTGTATTTCTGATGCGATTGGTCATACTGTAAATAAGAATGCATCTGGTTCTTTTTGTCTTTATGTCTTAATCCGCTTTGTCACTTAAGAGGTCAAGCCACCAAAAGATTTAAAGCATTGTGGCTTTCTTTCATCAGAACATATTCTAAACTCCTTTCTCTGATGATGCTGATAGATTTGTATTTTATTGCTTCTTCATATTGGAGAATATAAGATGATTGAAAACAGCAGCTGCTCTTACACTATACTCCTCTAAATGTTGTGTTTGTCTGTGTGTGTTTGTTCTCTACTAAATGAATGAAACCTGTGAATAATACTTGTTCTGACATCATCTCTTACTCAAATTTACCCTAGAAATAAATGTAGTTTTGCCACAGGGCATAGTTTTATCTAGGGATCTCAGTCAATCTTTCTCACTCCTGCTTTCATCTTGCCTAGATACAAATGGGTACAATGGTTTAGATCCAGGTAAATGTGTGTACAGTTAATTAAAGTCTCATAATTCTCTTAACAGCCATTGTAGAGCTCCACACTTGCTGAATTTTCCTCCACCAGTTTTCAAGATTCTTTTCTCCTTAGACTCTGATAAAACAATTCACCTTATAAGGAGGAACAAGTAGGAAGATTGGAGCAAAGGGGAAAGATGGCCCTTTATGCAAATATTTGTTTTGATGCAAAAGTGCTATTGCTAAGTGCTGTTGCTATAACATTCTGGAGGTTGTTGACAAATTGAGAAACATTTCCCCAATTCAGATGCTATCAGATGCTATTCATCTGAAACTTCTTATGGAATTGTAAGTATATGAAACGTAGCTCCTCTAAAAAAAGTACAGGATTTGATCCTTTGAGAAGTCTCTGTGCTGAAGTTTTTGGGAGGAAGTTCAGTGGGGACTCATAAAATTACAATCTGAACTTTTAACTTTCAACTTGCAAACTTGGTCCAGATAGATTTGCAATAGATGTGATTAAAAATAAACTTAATTTGTTATTTGGTTACCTACAGAGCTTCCATTCGGGTTTTAAAGAGACAATTCAATATTTAATTATATACATTCACTTTTTAAAATTATATCTAGGGGATGCATCTTCCTATTGCCATCTTCAGTTCCACAGGAGTACAAATCAATTTAACTATGAACACTTTCCTAAGCTGACATTTTCTGTCACTGATTGATTTATTAAATACAAAATGTATCTTCAAGTTTCTCAAACTAAACATATATCATTATAATTGCTAATGTTGTTGTTTTTCCTAATTATTGCTCTCTATATAAATTACAAGTTAGTATAATGATTAAATGTACAATTAATATTTCACTTGTCTGCTATGCTTATTTTTTTTCTTATATTGCCTTTAATTCATTTTTCAGACAGAAATAAAATAGGAGTGTATGAGGATAATAAAATTATCTAATTATTCATCTTGATTGGTAGAAAAGAGATTGTTAACACATTTTGTAAGCTTATTAACTTCTGTTTATTTTCCTCTAATACCTGTAAGATATGGTTTGTTTTATTTAGTATTCATTTGTCATGGAGTAACATTGCATTTTTAAACAATCTTGCATTTAGGAAGTTAATAGATTCAAACTTCTTCAGTTTTAACCAGAATGCTAGATTGTGTGCTTATAAATGAGCTGTCTAAGGCTGTCTTGCTTATTCAGGATGCATCTTTAGAATAGCTACTTTAAGGTCCATTCATAGTTTGCATAAACATAGTTTGATTTGGATCACTGAAGGACCATTACATACTATATTAAATTTACAAGAATGGATTGAAACATACCGTTTGACCAGTTTGATACTATCTTGTTTCTATATATTAGTGGACTGGCATGGAACTAATTCACAAGTTGCTAAACTTCTTACCTCTTTGGTAACTTTGGAATGTGTTTAAGGAAAGAATTAGTTGCTAATACAAGGAGGAAATGATTACATAACAAATTATACGATAACTATTGATTTTAAGGGTCATATTTGCAAATGCTGAAATTGATCCATTTCTTTTGAAATGCAGTCCTAAATCTAGTAGGACTGGTAAGCAGAATGAAGTTCTGAGCTAAAAGTTTAGGATTTGTTGCTTTTTTTAAAAGATTGGATAATTCAGAGATATTTCTTGTTTCTCTTTTTCCCTTCTAGGGCCTTCAAATCATCACAGTCAGTCAACTCTGAGACCACCTCTTCCACCACCTCACAATCATACTCTATCCCATCACCATTCTTCTGCCAACTCCCTCAACAGGAATTCCTTAACAAATCGGCGGAACCAGATCCATGCGCCAGCTCCTGCACCAAATGATTTAGCCACCACTCCTGAATCTGTTCAGTTACAGGATAGCTGGGTGCTGAATAGCAACGTGCCTCTTGAGACCAGGTAGACAAATGTTGATATTTGCAGAATGATTTTAATAGCATTCTATTTTTTTAAAAAAAGAATGGCTTTCTTAAGTCATTCACAAAACTAGTTTGTTGAGATTTCTAGAGAGGAGAAACCATTCTTTGGACAGCATGCTCCAAGTTGTTTTTGTATTACTTACTAATTTATTTGATTTCTATAGAGACCTACCTCACATAAATTATTCTTGATAGCTTACAATAAAATAGATTTAAAAAAAAACCCTAAAATTGTATGTTAAGATATTTAATATAAAATAAAAACACATAGCAGTTGAGTTTCATAAATATCTCTCAATAAAGCCAAGTGACAGACTTTATTACGCTCCTGGGTTCCAGGCCCGGTCACACAACCAAGTTTTTAGGGCCTTGCAAAGGGCCAGCAGGGTCAGGACTAACTTAATCTCAGGTGAAATTAATTCCATAGCATGAAATTAATTCCACAACAGAAAATACCCTCTTCCTATAGCCATGTTATATTTAATTATGTCTAGCCCTTCATGAAGGGCCAGGTGCTAAGGATCTGGATGTTAATATCTAATGATTTCAATAAAAGAATTTTAAGCAAACTCATTATCACCAAGAGGTCTTTGCAAGGACATTCACCTTGTTTGAAGCAAACTGATAAAATAGCCTACCCTGATAAATAATAATGCTACACAAAAGCAATATAATGTAATGTAACCGAAACCCTAATTTTAATCTGTAGATTTATTTAATGAATATTGATCAGCTCAACTTATTCTTGTTGGATACATATGTATTTGTCAGACATATTTTGCATACCTAACAAATAAAATTCATGTCACATATTCTACTCCAAAGCACAGGAAGGTGTTACAAGGGTATACTGACTAAGTGTTACTAATACATTATTTATTACTTCAGAAAGAGCCAAATGCATAGTCTAATTTGAAAGTAAATATTTTGGAAAGCTGAAAAAACAATCACTGATTCAAGACAGACCAAAGTATAATTTTCATTTATACTTCAGCCAATATGCAGTCTTATTTAAATCCCCCTTGTAGACTGTCAATTTGATTCCTGCAGGGCAAATGCTAATGACTCAAAAAGTTCGGTGTTTGTTGACTGTGACAGAAGGAGAAAAAACCTTTTTAAAGATTATTTTAAAATACTGTTAATAATTTTTGCGTTTTGCTACTTCTTAAATTTCAGAGTACGTTTATAAATGCATCAAATATATGGGTGCATTACAATACAAAAATCCAAAAAGATTTGTATTGTAGTACCTCTACATTTTTTTGTGGAATGAGTTTGTAAATGCAGACTAAAAATTCCTAGACAGTTGCTAACTTCTCTTATCACTCCTTCTAGCTCTCTTGTGTTCATCTGTGTTGCCTTCTCACATTCCTAGTAATACATTTTTGTTTTCCAATAGCTGTCCGTACATATCCTAGATCCTAGGGTAAATTTGTTTATTAGACTGCCATATATGAGGTTTTACATGATGCCTTCAAAAATCATGGCAGTCTAATTTTTATTTGACATCATTTTCATTGTGTGAAAATATGGTCTGAACAAGCTAGAATAATAAATATGGCTTCTGATGTAACAAAAAAAAGTCTGCACTTGACACATTAAAGTCTATATGTATTGTAAGAAAGAAGGAAGTCTATGATGCAGCATGAATAGACTTACAATACTTACAACCTACATAGATTTGGCATGTCTAAGGCAAGAATCAAAGTATCAGGCAACCTGAAGCTACTAAGTTCTCCATTCCTATCTGCGTGATTCAGGTTTTTTTAGCATGATCATTCTGAGGCCCATCCAGTGATGATAGACCAGTGGTTCTCAACCTTTTTAATGCCGCGACCCCCAACCGGTTGTAAGTCGAGGACTAAACCGGTCGTAAGTCGAGGACTAAACCGGTCGTAAGTCAAGGACTACCCAACTGGTCGTAAGTCAAGGACTTTCCTGCCCGGGAGCGCTGCACATGCATGGTTCCACCCCCTGCGCCGGCCGAGGCGTAGCTGGCAAGCGGCAGAGACGGAGCAGGCCAACCACCAGCTGGCCCAGCTCAAGGGAGGTAAGGCACCCACCGGAAAAGGGGAAAAAAATGGCGGACAGCCTTGCTTGGCGACCCCCGTGAAATGGTCGATCGACCCCAAATGGGGTTGTGACCCATAGGTTGAGAACCGCTGTGATAGACCAACAGCATAGGCTTCTCTTTGTCTCTCCAAATTGGGATAGAACTCTGAAGCCACACCCTGACATACATGGAGATCCCCTTTTGGAAAGTAAGGCAGAACAATCTACTGTATACAGTATATGGACATAATATATATTACAGAGTATAAGCATTGGCATTTTTATGAGGGGGAGCAAACCCACATCACTCGTGGGCTAAAATATCTTCTTAGCCCTGTAATTAGTGCCCACTTAAATATGTAACCATTAAGATTCAGAAAAACAATTGGAAAAGCTGAGGATGGAGGTGACTAAAGTCATTTATAAGCTTTTTGACCAGACAAGAGGGGGAACATGCATGCCTTTTTAATTATGTCCCAAAGGTGCTTTTTCAGGAGACAACTGGACTTTATTGTTTGTTTTTTTAAATGTTTTGCTTCCCATCCAAGAAGCTTCTTCAGTTCTGACTGGATGTTGGGGAATGGAAGGATTTATATTCCTTGCCGACAGCTGGTCATTTGCATTTTTTTTAGAGAGTCATTGAGGCCAGTTGGAGGTTTATCTGTATCCTCAGGGTCACCTGAGTAGTGCAATTGTGTGTGGAGCCTTCTTGGCTACAGGATGTTTTCGGCCCTGTGTCCCTTCACTGTTGTAGATAGGTGCAGGCTGATGGGGATGAGTCTTTGTTCTCTGCATCTCAAACTGAAGTGCAAATGGTTCCTGTAGTCTGCAATGTTTTCTGGAAATCCGTTCATACTCCCGCACCATTCGAGGGGTGTTCATCCCATAGTGCATAGCTAAATGTCTATGGAGATTCTCAGTCATCCAGGTCATGGTTGTCCCAAAAGTGCTTTTTTCAGGAGGCAACTGGACTTTCTTGTTTTTCTTTGAAAACTTTTTAATTGTGTTTTCTGTTGGCTCCACCTCCAAAACCAAAACATTACAGATTATGCCACTTCCAAAACAGAACATTACAGATGATCCCAGAATTAGGGCCTACAGCACTACTGGAAGAGATAATCTGGATCTCTTTAATCCATATGGTAACACGAATAGTTCCCATCTACAAAATGGGGGGAAAAAGGACCCAGGAAATTACAGACCTATCAGCCTGACCTCAATACCTGGGAAGATTCTGGAAAAGATAATCAAACAATGAATCAGTGAACACCTACAGGTAAACAAAGTCATTACTAAAAGCCAACACGGGTTTGTCAAAAACAGATCATGCCAGACAAATCTTATTGCATTCTTTGACCAAGTGACAAAATTAGTGGACCAGGGGAATGCTGTGGATATAATTTACTTGGACTTCAGTAAGGCATTTGACAAAGTAGACCACAACCTACTACTTGATAAGATAGAAAAATGCGGGTTAGACAGCATCACCACCAGATGGATCCGTAGCTGGCTGACTGGCCGTACTCAGCATGTGGTCCTCAATGGAACCGCATCTACATGGAGGGAAGTGTGTAGTGGGGTGCCCCAAGGCTCTGTTCTGGGCCCAGTGCTCTTCAACATCTTCATCAACGATCTGGACGAGGCGATAGATGGGGAACTCATCAAATTTGCAGACGACACCAAGCTGGCAGGAATAGCCAACACTCCAGAAGACAGGCTTAGGATACAGGAGGATCTGGACAGACTTGAACACTGGGCGCTATCTAACACAATGAAATTCAATGGTGAAAAAAATAAGGTTCTACATTTAGGCAAGAAAAAACAAATGTACAGGTATAGTAAAGGGGGTACCTTGCTCAATAGTAGTAACTGTGAGAGGGAGCTCGGAGTCCTAGTGGACAATCATTTAAATATGAGCCAGCAGTGTGCTGCAGCTGCCAAAAAAGCCAACACAGTGCTAGGCTGCCTTAACAGAGGGATAGAATCAAGATCATGTGAAATATTTTTTTTTATATAAAATTTTTATTAATTTTTCAAATTAAACAACAAATAATACAAATATGATGCATTTACTTAAAACATAAACAAAAAAGACAATCCTACTCAATACATTTTCGGAGACGCTCGGCAGACCCCGCCTTGCATCCACCCTCATTCACTTTCCTCTTCCTTCCTCCCCCTAAACCCACAACCTCTCCTCTTTCCTCCGTTCCCCCTCTCTACATCCCATCTCCCTTCTTAACAAGATCATGTGAAATATTAATACCACTTTACAATGCCTTGGTAAGGCCACACTTGGAATACTGCATCCAGTTTTGGTCACCACGATGTAAAAAAGATGTTGAGACTCTAGAAAGTGTACAGAGAAGAGCAACAAAGATGATTAGGGGACTGGAGGCTAAAACATATAAGGAACGGTTGCTGGAATTGGGTATGTTTAGTTTAATGAAGAGAAGGACGAGGGGGGACATAATAGCAGTGTTCCAATATCTCAGGGGCTGCCACAAAGAAGAGGGAGTCAAGCTATTTTCCAAAGCGCCTGAAGGCAGGACAAGAAGCAACGGGTGAAAACTAACTAAAGAGAGAAGCAACCTAGAACTAAGGAGAAACTTCCTGATAGTTAGAACAATCAACTAGTGGAACAACCTGCCTCCAGAAGCAGTGAATGCTCCAACACTGGAAGTTTTTAAGAAGAAACTGGACAGCCATTTGTCCAAAATGGTATAGGGTTTCCTGCCTGAGCAGGGGGTTGGACTAGATGACCTCCAAGGTCCCTTCCAACTTTACCATTATTATTATTAAATAGTGTTCCAGGTCAACAGTTGATCACAAGAGATATGTGGACAGTGCCAAATCTAAACAAAACACCAAATGGCAATGTGTAGAGTGGAATTTGTTCCATGTGTAAATGCTAAGAAAAATAAATAA